TTTTTGATGTTAAGCTGTTAGACCTTTTGCAATATCTGTAGTCGTTGCATTGTATTACTTTGACCCCGTCTAAGTTACACAGTATACCACACATTAGTAGCTTTCATTACAAATGTTTCTCATTAGGACACTAGATACATGGATACCTCATGGCATTCTTAATAGTATTATCTGTATACATGCGCACATGTGTATAGGTAGGAGTCAACGAAGCCTAGTCCTGAAGAATTGTCTTACATTTGACGGGAGCGAATCAAATATCAAACATTCGAAGATTGCCAGCTGGTAAATGTGCTCAGAAGACTCCGCATTTTGTCGGCGTCTTCACCTAGAAGGACTATATCATCTGCATATTCTAAGTAAGCGAGATTATTCCCTGGTAACAAGTCAGCCCCTGAATCTCTGAAGTAAGTTAGGGTTAAGTCCATTAGTACATCTGTGATGAAACTATTAGAAATAGGGACAGTAGAAATCTCTTGCAGACACCAATAGTTGTCATCACTGCAGATGACAACTCGAGTAGAGTGCCTTGATCAGTGCAGCGTATTTCCTCGGTATTACCTTGATAGCAAAAACATCGCCATAGTACCTCTCGGTTGGCAGAATCGAATGCCGCCCTTAGGTCAAGAAATATAACGATTGTTGGACGCCTGTAAGTATTCCTATTTTTCTTTCCAGAATCTGTCGGAGGGTGAAGATATGATCAATACACCCTCTTCCTCCTCTAAAGCCGGCTGGTTCACTTGTGTATGTTCCTCCCGTGAACGGCTTAGTCTACGTAATTATAAAGCCTAGAAGTTTAGATAGCATCTTAGTCGAGCTAATCCCCATGTGATTATCACAGGAAGACTTGTCTCCCTTCTTGTATATCTGCATAATTAATGACTTACACCAGCCTAACGAGACTTTCTCTGATTCCCAGATGCTGTCTTATACCTTAGTTAACGCAGACAGTAGACTTTTTGCACTGTCTCTAAACACCTCTGGAATCATTCCATCAGGTCCCGCTGCTTTGTCTTGTTTCAGGCTAGTGACAGCTTTTGTAACCTCAGTTAGGGACGGAGGACCTGTGTTTATATCCCATTCAGGGAGGCGTTGGATGTTCGGTAAGTTGAGCGTGGCTGTAGGCCAATTAAACTGATCCTCAAAGTGTTCTTTCCAGCGTTCCAGTCATCTATCCTGGGAGCTAATCATGGTTCTATTTTTCTCGGAGATTGTTTGACTTACCATTCACCATTAGCCACCTATTTCTCTGATAAGTCTAAATAGTTGTCTGGTGTAACCAATCGCCGATGTCTTTTCCATCTCATTCACTTTTGTTGCCCACCACTGCTCATGGTCGTTACGAATACAATGCTATGACGGAGATGCCGCTGCCAGTGTCAATGGCAAGTTCAACAGTAACCTTGATCGAACAATACCTATAAAACACAAGCATCCATCTTCCCAACAGGAAATGGGGCAGCAAGTGATGTGGACCAACAGCAGAAGTCGCCTAAAAGGCTATCGACTCCGTTATTTAAGCTTCCGAATACATACCTTGGGTATATAATAACCAGTCACCACCAAAATCAAGTGGGGGGAAGAATGCCGATGAATGGGGAAATGAAGTCCGTAGTTAAAGGTGAAAAAGGACCACTAGACACGTCTAGTTTCTCCTAAAAGATACCATTGTTTGAAAGCAAAACGCCAACCTAGAGAAGATAATCTCCCCACCAGGTTGACCACTTTACGCAAAGCGGAGGAATCAAAAGATTCGGACACCAAATCCACTCCATACATGACGTCACAGTAATCAAATTACTGCCTCGATTAAAATGGTATAACGGTCTCCATGAGATACATGCAGCAGTGTTTTGGAATGGCGCTCACCTCTATACTTCAATGGTCTCCAGAACATTAGAACCTCACACGAAGTACGGGTGTGTCCTTATGGGCGATTTTTATGATGCCATTTATTAAGAAGACGATTTTACTGTTGCACTTCATAAGGCTAATGAGTAACGTGCTCTCAAACCCATTTTTACTGCCACAATCATACAAGTGGCCTTTTTGCATATCCCCAATTATCGTAGCTTAACTGCAGTTGCAACTGCGAGTATGTTGGTTTGCAATGTTTTTCAAAAGAGACATAATCGATTGACGAAAGCGAATCTGCTTCACCAACATGGCCGCGATTTGATGAGTAACCTTAGCTATGTTTCCACTTAGACTGGATATGAGTCTTCTTAGATGTCAATAAGTACTATAAGTAAATAGCGTAAAGCGTACTGATGGTACCTGGACATGATATGACACCCAGCTATGAACATCAGTACTCCTTATCTCATAGTAGTAGGAAATTATATGACATGCAGGCAGTGTGATGTATTTGCAGACGTTTGAATCCAAACAACATTGTAATCAAGGGATTAATTTGAAATTTCACGTGCACACAACCTTCTAGAACTACGACAGACTTTCAGTCAACAATTTTGGGCTTATGAAGCATACGAAATTATCATTTTATTAAATCCTCCAGCGCAGTTTCGTGACTTAAAGCACAAAGCCAATGAAAACTTCCTATGAACTAGCTGAGATAGTTTAAATTTCCTGAAATTTTGTTTTATTAGCCACCAGTATTTTAAGCATTACAATGCCTGAAGTGTTCAGACTGCAGTGAAATTTTACTTGGCTGCATCGCCCGTTCTAGGGGACCTACTGGCGCACCTATCAGACAAAAAAGTTTTAGGGATTCGATCGTTACAAAATTGACAAAATCATAAAATGAATGTCACATTCTAAACTAAAGGGACGTGTTAAGTAGTTTTGAATAAGTCCTCTTTAATATGTGACTTTCAAAGGGCAATCCCGAACAATTTCCCTGACAGCTGCTTGTAGATGATGAAGAGATGGCTTGTGGTCTCTTTTGCATATGTTTTTCTCTGTCGCGAAGTTCGCTTACAATAATAGTAGTTGTGCTGTCTAACTTTCGGGGAAATTCATGGTCCGCTTAAAGGCCAGTGTACAAATGTGATTGGAAATAGTCCCTGGGTTCCGCCAGAGGTAAAAGAAGCGACCATAGTGAGGTAAATAATAGGAAACTTATACAGTAAAATAAAGTGATCACATTTAAGTGTGTACCCAGGCATGAGGAATGTGAAATTAGTGAAACGCTTTTGTCTTCATTGCTGTGGCAGTTGTCAGCATTCATTGCATAACTTCAGCATCTAGTTTTATTTTCATATATTCAGCGCAGTCTGCTTTTCACTTTAAGACACAGGACATTAGCCCTAAGTCCGCAGTGTGTGACAATATGGTGAAGCTGTGTTTCAGATGGCCTTTATTCTGGGTAAAAAATGCGACCCCATACGATTCTGATTTCATAAAGATAACTTAGGCTCATATGTGGAAGAAAATTATTATCATAGTTGGAATAACAACAAGTCGTTTCGAAGTTATGGAAGACTTCGTTTCGCAGTTTATTCGTAGAAACAAGACTGCGCATTTAGTTGCACCGTACTTCACATGGAGGAAACACAAAATGGGACTTTTGAGAAAGTCGTACCTCAGTGTATAAATTTCATGAACCCCACAAAACTCACTCTACTCACTTATCGCTGAAACTAAACTATTATGGGATTCATACTTCCGAGAGGGATATAATGCATGGGTGATTCCTGCGATCGCCCTTTTTTAGTTTAATTTCATCACACATCACACATACATCATTGTCCAGATAAAATGCACCAAAGAAGAAATAGCGAACCGGAAGTCAGTAACACGGACATAATAAACATGAGAAATCGAAGTGAATGAGAAGAGTGAACTTTCATCATCCCTGTGACCGCTTGTCTCATATACTTTTCTCATGCTGTGCAAGGTATCTCCTAATTATTTCGTTTTTTCTTCCTCATTGCGGGTTATCAGTCTTTGTATGCATTCCACAAGATATCATTATGCACAGTGTCTGCAAGTAACCTTTCAGTATACCTACTTATCGCAGAGTTGCTCGTACTAAGCCTTTGAAGCATACCTGCTCTGGACCTAGAACCCACGAAGCGCACCTAGAAGCTGTAGATGTAGGAGGACGGAAACAGCGCGTGCACCTCCCAACACGACATAACAATACTCTCGACTTAATCCCCTGCCACAAAATAGAGCCCATCTCAGTAGAGATGGAGGATAAACTCGACAGCAGTTGTCACAACATACTATACTGCATTCTGCACACCCAAAAATTCCCCAGTTTACCATCAACATAGCGACTATAGAAACACCGTCTGGGAGTTCCTACCAGCGATCTTGAAAAGCTCTGATTAGAGTGGATACTTCTCCAATAATAACTTAGAAGTAACACTTCGTGTCTTCTACAAGACAATCGGTTCGGTGACAGACACAATCGAGCTACTAAAATCTTCCTTGAAGGCACCAACTCTATTCATAAACCGCAAAACGCGGTTAAAACTAAGGAAACTGAAAAGGAAATATTATGTATTCAAAGAATTTAGTGCATTACACCAGATACATGAAACATTTAAAAATCTTGAGGAGAGACATAAAATGAAGGCACAACTCGAGGAAAATAAAGCCCTAGGGGGCATCTCTAAAACTCAGGAACTCTGCAAGATCTTGCAAAAACGACTGAAAAGGGGTAAAGACAATAATGTTGGCCACTTGGAGCATGAAGGTATAATTTATGATGATCCCCAGATAATTTGTGAACTCCTAAACCAGTGGTTCTCCAATAACATCAAAGTGCATCCGTCCTCAATCCTCGACATAACCTGCAAAAATAACTACGAGTTAGGTGAAATCAAATTTAATATACAATTTAAATATACAAGACGCCTGAGACTAAACTTGACACTTTACTATAAGCTTCTAAACCACTTAGTTTTTACCTCTACTAATGGCACTCGACTTTCAGATGACAAAGGCTACAAACTAAGACACACTAAGGGTACAGTAGCTATCGAACAATGTAAAACAGCCACCAGGCAAACGTTTTACTTGATTAGGTATGCACAGATATGGAATAAACTGCCAATGGAAATGCGTCAAGCAAGTACATTGGCCTCCTTCAAAAAGGTGCTTAATGACAAACTACAAGAGTTTGCAAACGATAGTAGTTCTAGTTCCTATCTGAGAGCCTCCGAAATTATAGGTTCATTTAATGTATAAGCTTAAATACTACACCTGTTGTTTTTGCCTATATTTATAATTCTAGATAAAACATTAACGGTTAAGATACGTATCCTCAAACAGACAAGAAATCTCGTTTGTAAAACTACTACCCAACACAATAAGTGGAATAAAATGGACATAAACCGACAACATGAAAAAGGTATAACTCACCACAACATCACATGGACAGATGAACGCTCGTTGGGCACCATATATCCCTCACCAACTGCAACCCACCTTTCCTTAGATAATGTGATGAACTTATATCAATAATGTTGCTGAGCAGTTAATATTCTCAACTCCTGTCGGAACAGCTGAAATTCATAAACCTTCCTAACGCTAAGAAAATACCCACAAGCAGTAGAAATCCATTAATTAATGCGTCCGAAGCTTATGTATTTACTCCCAACAATGACATTGAAGATCAAATGAGATAAACACATCACTGATTTCAAAATAACACATCAATGAACTATAATTCGAGGACTCTGCACACAACAAAGTTATGTATGAATATTTACTTCAAGCTTTATTTTTTTCCCAGGCACTTATAATCCATCCACCAAAGACCTGGTTTTTTTGTTAATGCGAAGACAATACTTCTGTATTTCCTGTTGTGTTGCACTCACTGACAATCTAGCAGATTTTTCCAACTTTGCACAGAAATGACTGTATATAAGTGAAAAGGCTGTTTTATACTACTGGGATTAACATTTATCAAGTGTATGTATAATCTCCAGCGAACATGTAAAGCATATCTTGCTACTGCCTGTAAATTGTGATTGAATTATATGGTTCTATTTCTGTAACAATTTGATGATGCCTGTAAACTGGCGTCCCTCATGTACTGTACTATGAGAATAAATTTATTTATTTATATTTATATTTAAATATAGCATCAGCGGTAAAGACATTAAAAGCTAACGGTAGTTGTGGGATAGATGATGTACCATCTGTCATATACAAAAACTGTGGCACGGATATGATAGTACTATTACTTCGAATATTTACCCTCTCACTAGTGACTGGGACCTACCCTAAAATTTGGAAAAATACATATATATTGCCTAAGCACAAAGCAGGAGCCAAAACTAGTGCCTGTAATTATAGACCTATCAATATAACACCTGTCTTATCACGGATCATGGAGAAAGTAATCAAAGACCAAATGTCAGACTACTTTCTAAAACATAAACGCACCAACCAGTCACAACACGTAATCCTCAAGAAAAGATCATGCTTCACTTGCCATATAGACTTTTCACCAAAATCACCTATAAAAGATATAGGAGAGAACTAGTAATTATCCTCACAACTGGATAAAATCATTTCTCTGTGATAGAAATCAGACAACAAAAGATGACTCGATGACCAATTAATAGTGGTGTCATCCAGGGGAGTGTATTGGGCCCCCTCCTTTTCATAATATACATAAACAGTACATGTAAATGCTTCAGTATAGACTAACTAATACCACATGCAGATGAATTAAAGGTGACCTATGCATGCACAAATACAGATATGGGTACAGCTGTGAACTCTATACATGAATAATTGATAAAAATGGATAGGTGGTATGACACCTGGAGACTCGAAATTAATGTCGAAAAGTGTGGCTAGCCCCACACAGGCTGTTCCAACCTAGAAGCTGACATAGTAATTCAGGGCCACAAAATCCCCAGACTCAAATCCGTACTAGACTTAGGACCGAAATATTCACATTATCTATTATTTTCTGAGCATATCTCGAAACAAGTGTCCAAATCACTCAGGCTTATTAGCACATTGGCTTTCTTTGGAAACTTACTTTATGACAGACTAAAAGAATTTGCGACCGATATTAGTTAAAATTCCTAAGTATGAGCTTCAGAACTCATAGGCCCACTTAGTGTATGAGCTAAGAGACTGCACCTGTTCAGATAAAAAAGCAGCAGCCATGACAACAGCCCCCAAACAAGTATGAGTCGATTTTATAATGTCTACCTGGTCCAAAGAGTGAAACAAAACAGGCATACGTGTGAAATATGAGAAAACAAGGTCGAAACTCATCACAATGTCAAATGGAAGGATATGAGTTTCTTGGACATTAAATATACTTCACCAACTAGTCTACTTTCCGAAAAGAATGCGGTGATAATTTATTTATAGTGGTGAGGAGTCATGTAAGTCCATAATTCCCGTTGGTACGACTCAAATTCCTGAACCTTCCCAATATCAAGTATGAAATCAACTAAATCCGATCGACGAACAAGCTGTAGTATACATCTGGATACTCATCCATATGTTGATCAGGCTGACAAATCCAAATCACTAACTTTACAACGGCGATTGGTGCGTCGGTGGCACATTGGTTAGGACTCTCGCCAGCCATACACATGGGCCGGGGTTCGACCCACTGCCGACGCACACCTGATACCAATGGTCGGCCTGCATAATTTGGGCTACCGATATCACATGCTGAAAATTCTATACTTCTGCCAAAGGTACTGTGTGGAAACAAGCTATTATAAAAAAATTTAAGAAATAATGAAAATATTCTGACAGTTGCACTTCAAATCTCAAAGACTCATTCGATGGTTACATTCTGCTTCTGCATGCTTCATTCGTCATTTTGTATTAATTAGTAGCAGTCATTCTGGTTTCTGACCGAAATGAATCAAAACATTCGTCGGTTGCTGATTATGGTGATTGACTGTTACTTCTTTCCATGTTTAACAGGATACTAACTGCCGTGGTGAGCCTCTTGCAGATGATATTGCTGAAAACATTATTATCAGTAAACTAACTAACTTTTCACAAGCCACTTTTATACATTTGTGAATAGCCCACCATATCGACCACATGTCTCCAGTTGTGATGCGCGTTTTCGACAAATTAAACAATAATGGTGTCTAGGGTTATATCATGTTAATTGTTTTAACCTATGTAAAGTGTGCCTGCTGACATTACTCCATTACCTTTCCTTTTATATATATACTGTGTACGTGAAAAATTGTAAATATGCTTGCCCTATGTATACATTTACCTATCATACTGATGTTGCCTGTAAACTGGCGTCCCTTATGCACAAAAAGTGAAATATATTATTGTTATTATTTACACTGGGTTGCACTGAAATCAGTATTATGTTTCCGATGCAGTAACATGCAGAACTTGTACATATCTCTGTGAATTATGCTTCGAATAACATTCTCTGCATAATAAATACGATGATTATGATAAGAATTCATCATTATCTTTTCATTGCATTGATAGGTGAATATCATTGATATAAGAATAAAACTTGGGCACTGTGGTAGAGTGTAATTCCATTATGGGTAAATTTTATTTTGATAGAGTCTCACAGTGTTATACGGTAATATTTACTGATGACGTTTCGAGCACAATTTATTGCTCATAATCATACCAAGTATAACTGTCTACAGTTATACCATATAAAGAGGGGACATCTGAGACCCTACGTAGGATTCTAAATAAAGCAGGAATTAGGGTGGCATTTAAACCTACAAGCTCACTCAGGGACAAGCTCTGTAGGTTAAAGGACCCAGTGGACCCAATTAGTCAAAATAATATAATTTAGAAAATACCCTGCAATGACTGTGAGGTCAACTACATAGGTCAAACTAGTAGGTCAGGGGTAGTCAGATTGTCAGAACATAAGAATTTAGCTAAGGTAAGAATGGTTGACCCAGAGAAGATAAGTAATTTAGAAAAAAGCTCAGCAATTGCAATGCATGCATTAGCACACAACCACACAATAGGGTGGGAGAGGGTTAAAATTCTAAAAAGTAATCTAGGTAGATGGAGAGAGAGGTTGATTACTGAATCCTTGTTCATCGAATCTACACCCAACACATGCAATAGGAATGAATCGTCACTCATACCCGAAATATGGAAAATATTACTACCAATCAAATCAAGCGAAAATCAAGTGAAAAACAATGGAACTATATAAGTGAATTTAGGAAGTCGTGTGATTACCTTGATATGATTATGAGCAATAAATTGTGCTCGAAACGTCATCAGTAAATATTACTGTATAACACTGTGAGACTCTATCAAAATAAAATTTACCCATAATGGAATTACACTCTACCACAGTGCTCAAGTTTTATTCTTATATCAATGGTACATATTTATTCCTACAAATGTAGGATACACCAGTTGTATAGGCATGGATAAGTATTATTCAAGTTACATATTTAAATTACGTGATTTACGGTTAAATAACATGGTTGCTGTCATTTTATCTTTAGTTTGTGAGAAAAATCTGATAACTAATGATTCAATGGACCACACCAAGAAATATAGATATATTGGCATCGCATTAACAAAAAAACCCAAGTATGGGTTGGATGGATTACAGCTACTTGGGAAAATAAATAAAGCTTGAAGTCAAATCCCTCATATAACAATAAAATGCATCTTATAATATTATATTCTCACTTTTGAGGTTTTCCGAAAATTGGCCATAAAACGCTTCTCTCCCTGGGAACTGCCTTTGCTTCCACTTGATATTCGGAGCCGTAATGGTCTTTATCGACAAGATTTTCTCTGGAAGCGGTTTAATCTCACCATGGCCTAGCTTATCACCCAACGGCGTAACACTCCGTTTGGATATATGAGATTTTGTTTTGTTGATGAGCAGTCCAAACTCTTGGACTGGGCTGTGGCATGTTCCACATGGCCGCCCTCATTTTGACTGTAGAAGACGAGATCATCACCGTACACCTCTACATTCTTCAAGTTTCTAAGTAATAGCGTCATCACTCGTCTGAAGGCAAACGGTCCACCTGCTAGTCCGAATGGCACGTGTTTAAACCGATGCTGCTTTTGTCCCACAATGAGCACCGTCTAATCTCTTTCAATCTGTTTTATTGGTATCTGCCAATGCACTGACTGGAGGTGAAGCACTGTAAGCATATTCACGCTTTGCAGTTGATCCACGGTCTCTAACACAGTTTGATGGAACACGGTATTAGCTGTCGGAAATCGACTAAGAATCTGTACTTCCCGTTTGCTTTCTTCTCTAATAGAATTGGAGAGTCATATGGGCTGTGAGCTTCTTCAGTAATATCATCCTGTAAAATCTCCTTCACTTGTGGCTCGACTTCACCCTTTAGACGTCATTGGGCTCTTGGTGCTGCGAATGGTGCCATTTTGCGAACGTTCAGTGGGATTTCACGCCTCCCTTTTTACGGCAATGACCATAGGCGTCCCCATCCCCAGTGAACAGATGATCGTATTCTTTGACTGACACAATCTGTTTTTTGACTGCGTAATGCCTGCTATCTCACTTGTCTGATAGGTCCCTACTTCGTTATCACTGCCCTCTGCTTTGTGTTAATAACCTCACCGACCTCTCGCAGAAAAACAGCGCCA